CCAGAGTGCCCAAGGTGATGCTTGCTAAGGCAGAACAGTGTTGCACCCAGGACGACCATGAACTCTCAGCCCGTCTTTGCAGATACCACTTGTGAGTCAGCTGTGCTGGAACCGGCATGAGGAAGCACTTGAATAAAAAAAACGCTGTTGTACCAGCTGTTTTTTGTGATGTTATATACATACAAGCACATTTTTCCCAGTGTCTCTGCAGAGGGGTGGGAATGAAACAAATGGAAATTCGCCAAAAGAGGCAGCAAGGAGAGGAGTTTTTTGTCCACAATTGAATCCTAGATAAAAGCCAGTTTTATCCAACATCTCTGGAATCTCAGTGTTTTCCTACCGACTGACGTGGGTGTCGTACCTCGGTATTCTCGTACCTCGGTACCTTCGGTGGTCTGGACTGTCAATGTCAGCGTCGTCTGGTCAGGGTCGTCCTGGCGCGCTCCTGACAGGACCTCTACTCCGTTGATAAACTGTCGGCTGCGTGCGTAACAATCGGTACTCCCTTTATCTAAAGTGTTACATCCTGTGCACTTGGGTCAACACAGGAGATCTCTGAGAGGCCCCGGAAACGACAGATGCAGGCAAGGTTTGAAATCAATCACGCAGGTTTATTGTCAAATGCAAAGCTCTACCAGTTGGTAACAGAGATCAGTACAATGTTACACCACTGAACACTATGGCCCGCGTTGACAAGGTGCCAACACCGGGCAGGCCTATTGCCATATATCAGATATTAACAGCAGTTAGTCAAAGTTAAGCTACTGTGCACTCTGTAAGTTTAGGCAATGACACCTGCCGTTCAGGTGCCTAGTGCACCCCCCCAGGTCGGCCGGAGAGCACCTTCTGCGGTGTCCTTTTATAGACAGGTACAAACAACTTACATCATTTCTTTACGTACCAGGTTACCACCCTCTGTTGCCTAGTTACCACCCCTCACCTTACGGAAGGGGGACTTACTTACTATCCTTCATGCTGTCAATCTCGACCCGGTCCTGAACCTAGGTCGGTATGTGCATTAGTTTTTAGGGAGTTTTTGTACCAAGACATTTCTTATTAAAATGTTCCAATACTCCCCTTTGGCTTACAGTTTGTACCCAGTGCCTCCCTGTGTCCTTCCATGTTCGACCTAACTTACACAATTGCACAATTTATCAATAGGGCCTCTTTCTTGGCTTTTGTTACTGAACCAAAGTCTTGATCACTAGATTGCAGGTCTGTTGCTGTTTTAATGTTATAGGCCTCTATTTGTGCCTGCTGACTCCATGTTACTGACCTCAACTTACTACAGTGGGAACCAAGCTTTGAAACAAAGTGTTCCCACCACATGCCAAAACTGTACAAGACAGGGAGTGGCCTTGTCCATGGTTCTTCACACGCCACACGAGAAGACTCATGGAACCACCTGCAATCGAAGAAACCAGCCATTCTTAGAGCCCTCATTCTACACCCCGTCATCTACGGGGTGAGGACCAGGCAGATCTGGAACAGGTTGCTGCAGTTGTTTATTCATAAAGGGAATTAAACTTTTCACCTGGTGCTCTGGCTCTAAGACCGAGCTCTGTGCAGAGCTGGCTGGTAACGTGGAGCTGGGCCCTCTGCCTGGAATTATTTTCTGGATACTGGGAAAAAAAACATTAAATCCTTTCCTGGTCTTTGTGTGCTGTGTTAGCAAGAGTAACACAACTAGTTTATTCACTCCTAGATTTGGCAGAGACATCAGGAGTCATCTGAGTCCAACCCACTGGCCAAAGCAGGACCAACCCCCCAACTCAATCATCCTACCCAGGGCTTTGTCAAGTCAGGACCTGAAGAACAAGACTACCCTCAGGGGAATCGCTGGACTCAGGCTACAAAATAAAGTGCACTTGTCCCATAAGGAGCTTCTGCTTGATCTTTTGATGTGACTGAACTTGTGGTTGCTCTGTTTAAGCCAGTGAGTTGGGGCAAGGTGTGTTGGGATCATAACTCGAGGCAACGGTGTTGTGGTTGGACAACCAGAAGACCATTGTGTTTCGAGGAGTTAGTGAATCGTTCCAGTTCTCATGTCTGCCAACTAGAAAACAGGCTTTGGCCTGCTGTTAGCAAGGAAAATTCCCAGCTAGCTCACTTATTAGAGAGATAGGCCATGCCCTAGCATGGCTGAGCTCACCGAATACTATAGATAAACTCCGAAGTAAACAACCTGTCTGTGGGAACCTTCTCACAGGCAGGTGGTTGTTTTGGGTTTTTCCCTTTGCACGAAGTTAGGTGCCACTTCTAGGATTATGTGCTCAGGCTCTATATTGTTTTCTGTGCCAATGCCCTTTGGACTTCCCAAAGGACCTGGAACTGTACAGAGGTGCCTTTCGGATCTGGCCCCAGGAGTTCATCCTTTGCTGAGTCAGAGTCCACAGCAAGCCAAAAGGAAGTTGTAAGCCTTCTCTTTTTATATCACCTGGAATATCTAATACACCTTGCATGTATTCACAGTCAGTGATTTGTGTCTTCATGGTTACCCTCCGAACCTGAAAGCGAGTCTGGCTGGCCCAGCCTCAGAAGTAAGACTAACAGCGGTTTCATTTTCCTCTCCACATTGAGGGAGGGAGCGAATTTGACAAGTGTGCGTGGTACAGGATGGTTGGGTTGTCCTAGCTGGGCCATTCCGATTCGGAGAGCGGTCAGAGAAACACAGAGAAAAGGGGGCCCATTTGGGTCAAAAGAACGTCTTGTTCCCCCACCACTCAAAGTTCTACAGAGTCTACAGAGTCTACAGAATAACTCCTGGTTTGCTGTCACAACTTTGCTCAACCTCCTGTGGCTGAAAACCCACCTCCCCACAGCCCTCCCCCCAACTCCCTGCCCCCCCCCTGCCCTGATCTCTGCACCTCAGCCCCCTGCCCTGAGCCCCACCCACATCCCACCCCTGCCATGACTCTTGCACCCCCATCCCATCCCGTGAGCCCCCACATACTGAACCCACAACACCTGATACCTGCATCCCCAGCACCTGCCCTGTGTCCTACACCCCCAAACCTTCCCTCAGTCCTGAACCCTTCATGCCTGCCCTAAACTCCCCACAATCCTCTGACGTGAGCCCTGAATCACGCTCGCCTCCCAGCCGCCTGCGTTGAGTTCTGCTCCCCCCAAACCTTCAGTTGTGCAGCCCTCATCCCTTCACTGATTCCCCCACAATCCCATCCCCTGAGCCCTGTATCCTCCGCCCCTCCCAACCCCCTGATTTGAGTCCTACACCCCCACATTCTGCCCTGAACCTCCAAACTGCTGCCCTAATTCCTGCACTCCGACCCCCTGCTCTGTCTTCTTCACCCCATCCCCTCCGCTGGGACCTCCCACATCTTCCCATCCCGTCATGACTCCGGCTCCTACCACTCCCTAGTCTGACACCCCTAAACCACTGTCCTGACGCCTGCACACCACCCCCTGCCCTCAGTGCCCCACTTCCTGTCCTCAGCCCCCCTCACCACCCAACCCCCTGCCCTACACAATCATGTAAATAAAGCTTATACATTTTTATTAAAAAAAAACCCTTATCACCGTTAAGAACCTGAGCAACACCAGGTGTGTGCGCTGGGATTCAAAACACCACAGGCTGAGGATGTGATACATGATTGCACCCACAAAAAGATTGTCTGGAAACTACTTCTGAGGGCCCCGGGACACAGAGAATGGAATTTAGCAATAGGAAGAGGGTAGAAGTTGGGTTTTATTTTAGCTTTTGGTGTGGTTGGAGCATTAGGACAAAGACACATGGATAGAGATGTTTCATACAATTAGATATGGCTCCTAGGGTTCCAAACCATCTGTGTTTCACTCACACACTCCATTTCCTGATGTCTGGGTCAGGATGCCAATTAAGGGTGCTGGTTTTTGACAAGAAATTGTAGTTGAAAGGGAGACCGGGGAGGACCCAGGTACTGTAGGGCAAGAGAAGGAGTCAGGACATCCACCAGCAAAGGCCCATATTCAGTTGGGACCTCATCCTACCAAGAGGCCGAAACAAAGGGAGCCCAGCTGAGGCAGGAAGAGAGGTGTAGACAATCCAGCAAATGATGCTGGCGGGGAGGGGGCAAAGAACGAGAGAAGAGGAGTGTGTGATGTGGCAGGAACATGGGGGAACAGGTCATTAAGGGAACAGGGCCCTCATAGACTAGGTGAGGCAGAGATGGGGAAGGAGGAAGAGGTTGGCTAGGTAGAAGTTTCTCAGAGGTCAAACTATGATCCATTACAGACCTATCACAGACTGATTCCCTGGTTGGACATATGGGAACAACTGAGTGAGGTCAGGAAAGGATCTAATGTTTCTGGTTATGTTTACTCTACAAAGGAAAGTTGGGGAAAGATACGCAAATTGTGAAGCACAATTTGTGTGTCTTTTTCTGCTTTTCTTTTGAAAAAGGATTTTCTGAAATTTGGCCCATCTACCAAGCACCAAATTTCAGGAAAACCTCCTCTTTCAACACACATCCCTTCGCCCTTGTACAATGAGGTTTCCTGGGATGGCGAAGAGTGAATCCGCTTTTCCGAATTTTTTTTCTTGTATCCCAGAAAAGAGGTCCAGTGTGGATGTTGTCTTTGAGTACTCAGTCAGTGATTCTGGGAAGAAGACCCAGCAACATGCCACCATCCAACTCTGCCTTGAACTGGATCTCAAAGTCTGAGCACCAGAAAGAAAGTTTTAATTCCCTTAGGGTGGGTCTACAATGCATGGCTAATTCGGGATACTGGAGGCATCCCAAAATATCTACCCAACATCTTAAATAACTGCCCATTATTATTTTTGAATTAATGGGTGTGCTATTTCAGCATCTCTTTATGCCTTATTCCTCGAGGATTAAAGGATGTCTTGGAATAGTGCGTTCTTTCTAAATTTGGCAATGTGCAGATGCACCAAATTTCAACATCCCCTATTTCAAAATAAAATCAAACTAAGATATGCAATTTGTGTAGCAGAAATTGCATATATTACTTCGAGTTTAGGGTGCCGTGTAGACACATTCTTAATGAGTAAAGAGCTGCAGGATCCTGTCCCGGATCTGTTTGGTCCTTAAGCCATAAATGATGGGGTTCAGCACAGGAGGTACTAGTAGATACACATTGGCAATGAGAATGTGGAAATGCAGGGGCACATTGTGGCCAAAGCGGTGCGTAAGGAAGGAGAAGAGAGATGGGAAGTAAAAGGCTGAGATGACACAAAGATGGGAGCTGCAGGTTCCAAAGGTCTTGAGCCGGGCAGCCTTTGTGGGGAGCTTGAAGATGGCCCTGAGGATCTGGGTATAGGACACTGCAATAAAAAACACATCCACACCAGTCACGAGAAGAGCCACAAAGAGGCCGTAGTAACTACTGATGCGGATGTCAGCACAGGCCAGCTTCACCACGGCGATGTGCTCACAGTAGGAGTGAGGGAGGATGTTGGTTCTGCAATATGGCCACTGCCTCGCTAGCAAAGGATAGGGCAGGACGAGAATGCTACCACGCAGCAACACGACCAGCCCAATCTTGGCCACAACGAGGTTTGTCAGGACGGCGGAATGTCGCAGGGGATAGCAAATGGCCACGTAGCGATCCAACGCCATGGCCACGAATGTCCCGGATTCCATCATTGAGAAGCAGTGAATGAAGTACAGCTGTGTCAGGCAGGAAGTGAACTCGATCTCCCTGGAATTGAACCAGAAGATGCTCAACATTTTGGGCACAATGGAGGTAGACATGACCACATCGATGACAGCCAGCATGCAGAGGAAATAGT